TTCAGGGAGATCCAAAGAGAGTAGCTTATTGTTGTGGAGAAATTTGTAGGAGGATGATACAGAAAACTTTCCTTGAATACCCAATTTCCATCTCCATCTGTCTTCCATATCCATGTTTTGGGTATTGATTTTTAAACTCTCAGTGCTGTCTTCCTCCACAAACAGGCTCTTGACTTTCTGCACATCCCAGGAATAGCTCTCATCCAGCAGTTCTTTAACAAGGAGCTTACCATAAAAAACTCCATCTTTGAGTCTTGGAGGTCTTCCTTTAATAGTAGGCACCCAATGGAAGTCATGAATCCTGACTGAGTGACCATTCTTGATTTCAAGGTCAAGGCCTTCAAGGAGGAGCCATCTTGTTTTTAGCCAAGATCTCCACATCCAAGAGCAGTTCTGAGTAACTTTAGCATTAAAAATGGAGGAATTTGGGAAGTATCTGCTCTTCAGAATTTTGCTCATAAGAAGCTGTGGCTTAGTGATAATTCTCCAAAGCTGTTTAACCAACATGGCATCATTGAAGAGGGTGATGTCCTTGAAACCAAGACCTCCAAGTTTTTTGGACACAGTAAGGAGTTCCCACCTCTTCCAGTGTATTCCCCTTGACTGATCCCTGTTTTTGCTCCACCAGAATAGGGCAAAGATACCCACCACTTCCTTACAAACAGCAACTGGCAATTTATAACATGACATAACAAAGAGGGGTAGGGCATTCAGGATAGATTGAATTAGGACTTCTTTCCCAGCTGTAGACAGGAATTTGGATTTCCAGCTCATCACTCTTTTCCTCACAGCCTCGGTGACAAAGCCAAAGACTATTTTTTAGATTGGCCAACACCTAAGGGCATCCCCAGGTATCTAGATGAATTCTGAATTTGAATACCAAGAAAGTGATTACAGACAGAGGTTTTGGATGAAGAATTAGTATTCTTACTAAAGAAGATAGAGGACTTGGCAGTATTAACTTTTTGACCAGAGAATTTCTGATAGTTGTCAAAGATAGACTTCACAGTATTAGCTTGGTAGTCATCAGCTTTGCAAAACAAGATTGAGTCATCCGCAAAGAGTAAGTGAGTAAGAACAGGAGCAATTCTGGCCAAAGTCATCCCTCTATAGACACCTCTATCAACAACAGCAGTGATCATAGCAGAAAGGACTTGGGAGACAATGATAAAAAGGTAGGGGAATAGGGGGTCCCCATGCCGTATTCCTCTCTGAGCATTGATGTGGCCACAGGTACTACCATTAAGGATAATAGAGAAGGACACAGAAGAGATGCATTCAAGAATCCAATTCACAAACTGTTGAGCAAAACCCATTCTGAGCATAGTTCTCTTAATGCATTGCCACTCGATTCTATCAAATGCCTTCATCATATCGAGCTTTAAGGCCATAAAGGTGTGCTTACCAGAGTGGTTTCTATTTAGGAAGTGGATCCCTTCATTTGGTAATACCACATTGTCAGTAAGTTGTCTCCCAGGTAAGAAAGCAGATTGAGCATCATTGATGCAAGTGTTGAGGCAGCTCCTAAGTCTTTCAGCAAGGATTTTTGAGATGATCTTATAGACCACAGCACAGAGGCTAATGGGTCTAAATTGATTGAGGTGATCAGCATTGGCAACTTTAGGAACCAAGGTAAGGAGAGTATGGTTCCAATAATTCAACAGCCTACCAGATTGGAAGAAACTCCAAACAGCTGCACATAAGTCCTTTCCCACTAGTGGCCAAAAATGTTGGAAAAAGAGGGCTGGCATACCATCAGTGCCTGGAGATTTGGTAGGACTCATCGAGAATAGGGCATGCTTGATTTCAGATTCATCTACATGGGAGAGAAGATCTGCATTGATAGAGTCTGTGATAGTAGGATTAACATCCTGGAGAATGGAGTCACCTCCCACCGACCCCTCTGATGTGAATAAGTTCGAGTAGAAGCCTTCAATATGGCTCTGTAGGTCTTCATGAGTCTCACATATCCTGTTGTTGTCAGTAATCAGCCTGCTAATGGCATTAAGCCTCCTTCTTTGCATCACCCAAGCATGGAAAAAGTGGGTATTCTGGTCACCTTCCTTGAACCACTGGGTTCTGGCCTTTTGCTGCCAAAAGAGTTCCTCTGACATATTGGCCTCATCCATTTCCCTTTGCAAAGTGTCCCATTCATCCCAATCTCTATGCCTCCAGATTCCCTCATTTTTTCGAGTCTATGAGACAAGCCCTTCACTTTTGAAATATGTTGAGCTCTGAAGTGTCTGCTCCATTGAAGGAGGGCTATTCTTGTTGTTTTAATCTTTTCTTTAAGGATGAAGAGAGGGGTGCCTTCCAGAAGAGTGTCCCACGTTTTCTGAACTGTTTCTTCCAACCCTTCTCTTTTGATCCATCTCTTATCGAAATGGAACCTTTTCTTGAAAGCATCTCGGGGAGGTTCATCCTCAAGTAAAAGGAGGTGATGATCAGAGGAGCTCTTGAAGAAAGAAGTAGTTTGAGTTTGGGGAAAGTCTCTGAGCCAATCAAGGGATTCATATGCTTTCTCTAGGGCTTCCTCCACAAACCCTTCACCTTCTCTGTTGTTACTTGAAGTAAATGAGTAGCCTTTAGTCATGACTTCCAACATCCCCATATAAGATATAAAGGACTGGAAACCCATCAAGCTGGTGGTTGATCTCTTCCTTCCTCCTTTCTTATCTTAAGCTTTAGCAAGATCATTCCAATCTCCAATAGTGCACCATCTTGTACCCCACTAATTTTATTTCTCCTTCAAGTCCTCCCATTGAAGCTCCTTAGTTCTCCTATCTGTGTTCATGTAGACAAAAATTAACCATCTGGGAAGCTCTTCCCCAATGATAGTGAATTCAACCTCTATGCAGTAAGAGGAGCATTTAATCTGCAAGATTTCAATCTGAGGGTTCCAAGCAAACAGAAGTCCTCCCCTGAGGCCAATGGGTTCTATCAGCTAGAATCTACTGGCAAACCCAAGCTTTTTGCGTACAGTGGATGCAAAAAATTTGTTGTTTTTGGTTTCTGACAGAAAAATAAAATCTGGTTGATGAGATTTGATGGATTCCATCAATTGGGAAACTGTAGAGGCCCCACCCAGGCCTCTACAATTCCACACCAGAGCCCTCATTGATCACTATGGGGCCACTTGAGGCTGGTCTTCTCCACCTGAGATGGGGGTTGTTTCATTTTTTTTGCACTCGCTTCTCCAGTTACTTCTTCTTCATCTACTGTAACCATAGTGGTTCCTCCTCGCCTCCCTCTCTTAACCCCTTGGGCAGCTAAGTTTGCTTCAGAAGTACTGCTCTATAGCCTGCCTTCTTTTTTTCCATCTCTTCTCCAGGTTTTGTGTTTGGTAGTGCTAACTTCCATAGGAGCCTCTGGTATGATGGTTATTTCCAGCTGAGGTTCATGAGAATAGATAGGTTCTGGAGAAATCCTCTCCTCCTCCATTAGAGCATGATTATTTGCAGAGTATTGTATGATTTCCTTCCCCTGCTTGTTATGAGGTGGCTCTTTAACTGATGTTGCAGCAGTGGATTTCTGATTGTCCTGCCTAGAGGAACTTGACTCAACCAAGCTAGGGTTTTTCTTCAGCTCGGCCTGAATTGGGGCCAAGTTATCAGGGTTGTTGGTGAGAAGACCCACTTTATCAGGGTGAGTGACAGCATCTTCAGTCTCCTGGTTGAAACTGTGAGGAGTTTTGGTTGAGGGGTCTGAGTCTTGCTCAGGTGATCTGCTGTGAGTCC